TATCGCGTCTAATATTTAAATACGATTTATAAGTTAGATAAATAAATAAGTAAATAAGTAAATTAATAAATACTTATTTAAAAATAATTCTTATTAATCCTAATCCACGAATTTAATATTATCTTAATGAAATAAAAAAAAAAAATTTTTTTCTTAAGATGACAGCAAATAATAATAATAATTAATAACAATAATAACAACAACAAGAACAACAGTAATGATAATAATAAATGATATGAATGTGAATTGATATGACGTACAATAATATTATTTATTATTAATATCTCGATTAGTATCGATTTACTGTATTATTTAATATGGATTAGAAAAAGATATAATCCTAACCTCTTTGTGTAAGTAATTTCATACAAAAGGAAGGCGATGACAATGATCAGGGAGTCATGATGTTAAAGAATTTCATGAAAGTGCAATTTACTTTGAAAGCTTTGATACTCTTATGTGTTTCTTAGTCTCATATATTTCCCTTCGTTCTCTCTCTCACTCTCTCACTCTCTCTCTCTCTCACTCTTTCTCTCACTCTCTCTCTCTCTCTCTTTTCCTCTCGTTCCTTCTCTTTCTTCTTCTTTCTCTTTCTTTTTCTATTTCTCAGCATGACATAATTACATGAACGAAACAGGTTATGTCATATGTGTATATAATATAAAAATACATTCATATATACATACGTAGATTATGCTTGTACTATATTTAATATGTATTATTTATTATTTATTCTCTCGTTTTCCTCTCTTATTCCAAATAATATATCACTGAAATAGTAGACGACGTACAGACGAACGAAGAGAGAATGAGAAAGGGTTAGGAAGAACCAACGAAACATTCATAGAAACTTGAACAGGTTTGTAGAAGGTCGAAGAGGTCAATCGGCATATTTAGCTTTCTCCCCTTTGACGATTGACGATTGTCGACTGTCGACTGTCGAGAAGAGTTCTTTTAATTTTAAAGTGTAAAATTTCAGTTCTGACATTCGAACGTATCAAATGAATTTTATTCTTTCTATTCTCGTTCTATCTTTCTTTCTTCTTCATTAATTTCTTTCCAATTTTTTTCTATGACAAAGTCAACTTTGTTTATTTAATAAAAGTGTATATATATATATATATGTATGTATATATACTTATTCTTCTTTATACTACATTATAATATGGAAAGATATAAACTTATATGATGTATGATTTATAAATTGTAACAAGGGATCTAATTTATCAGACTTTTTTCTCTCTTTCATTTAGCTTAATAATATTGCTATTACATATTATATGTGTGCATTGTACAATTCATATACTTTAAATATGTTGGACAAATGATTATTCTAACCTATAACAAAAATTTCACCACTTACATTTACTTTTATATATATACATATATAAACATGTGTGTGTGTGTGTATATATATATGTGGTATGTAATTTAATAAAACTGTTTTTTATGATTCTGAATCCATTGAATATAATCTATATATATATACATGTACATACATACTCAATACACCTGCACTACCCTACACACACATCACACACATCACACACATCACTCACACACAGAGTAAAAGAGTAAGAGACAATATCTACCACCTAACGAGCTATGCGACCCTAGGATCTCCCACGAATTTCCTTTGTTCGTTGGATTATCGTCGTGGCTTATTATCATTCTGCCATTGCAACCCTAATGGAATATCTACGTAAGTACTACGTTCGTCATTATCCCAACTGTTCCCTTTCAACGTGAAAACTCTGTTTAAATAAAACGAATGAACGAGAGAGAATTATCGTTACGATAAACGAAAATTCGAAATAACAAAAGTTAAACTCCAATGAGCAATATTTAAACGATCGATACAAACAGAATAAATAATAAATTCCATTAGAAATTAATCATGCTATTGATCTCAGGCGTAAGACAATGTAATAAATTTAAATAAAATTCATTGAAATATTTTCATCGATTACCACCATATTTTATCATAATAAAGAAGAGAAAAATATATTCGTTTCTTTTTTTTTTCTCTTAACAAACAAATATATTATTCATTAAATAATAAATTGATAAATCCTTTGAGTGATGAACGCGAACGTGACGTATCTACGTAACATACTATGACAATAATAAATTTGAACAATCATTTGACCTTATTTTTAACCTATAAAAATAAAAGAAAAAATATATATATACATATATGCCCTTTCTATAAATAAAAGTATTATCGTTCAACAATAAAAAGAATTGCTATTTCGATGTGTGACAGATGGATGTAGAAAGATGAAAAGGGTGAATGGACAACATTGATTCGTTCAATACTCCTTTCCCTTTCATACCATCGTTTCGTTTCAGTCTTACAATATAGGAAAAAAAGCGCTTCCCATTTTTTTCAACACCAGGCTGTCATGGCAGCAAACAGATATACGTATATTAATAGGTATCTTGTGGGTTCGATCACAAGTGGTCCACCAATCGTGTTAGACTTCACACTTGGGCTTTCCAATCAATCGACTGTTTCCGGCTTTATCAGAGTAGCATGAGTTGAGCGGGAAAACCGAACTTTTCTATCGTTTCCCACACTCCGAAACGCGCTTTCTCTCTCTCTCTCTCTCTCTTTCTCCTTCTCACATTCAGACACACATACACGGACGCGTTCTCCCCATTGAGCGTGGGCGGGATTCGTCAGGTCGAAAACAGGCAAGTGCGATGCATCGCTCCTGATAACAGCCGACCGATCGAAGACTTTTTCAATCGTTGGAGAAAAGAAATTCAACTTTTCTTCTAACTTCTTCGAGAATAAATGAGAAAATACGAACTTATCTTTCGTCTATTTGTAAAACTAATTTCAACGATATTCTCTTAACTTCGTTCGTACGTACGTTTTTATTTCAACGATATAAGCTTGCGTATATATATATATATATATATATATATATATATATAATATATATATGTATATATACGTCTGTACATGTATATATGCGCTTATAGTGTGTATGTGTATATATATATCTATATATATATAAGTATGTATAGATATATATGATCGATAGATATGTAGATTGCAACGAAGAGGTTAGAAGTTCACATATGGTTGGTATTTCGATGTAAGGGCAGAAGGAAAGGGTTAGTCGTTCAAGTGCTTCAAGCCACACATCGTGAAAGGGATGACATAACCTTGTAGAAGGTCTTCTAATATCTCGTAGGGTCGACGTCCCCTAAAAAGCTTTATTCTCATCGTCCGTCTCTCTCTCTCTTTCTTTCTCTTCCCCACTTCCTCTTTTCCTCTATTTCTCTCTTTTTCTCTCTTTCTCTCTCTCTCTCTCTCTCTCTCTCTCTCTCTCTCTCTCATTATTATACGTTTCGATTACGTTGGTTGCGATTGGTCGGTGACTCTAATGGCTACCTGTAGCCGCCATTTTTAAAGAGAAATGACAATTTCAAAATAGAGATTGAGTATTTACTTACTTATTTTTTATAATATATATATATATATATATATATATATATATATATATATATATATATATATATATATAAAGCTTTTGGACTAACTTTCTGAGAATTTATTTTTTTCTACGAATTCTACTTGTAATTTTGTTAGAAAGAAAAGAACTGAATTATGTGTGTATGTGTATGTATGTATATTTCTATATGCATGTAGATTTTTTTAATTTTCATTATCATTAATATTATATGTTATAATATAATATATTCCACATATTCTAACATTATATTAATTATATATCATAGTAAATATATATATATATATATATATATATAAAGTATAATTAAATATATATACTATAAATAAATAAAATAATAATTTTGATATCTCATCTTTATATATGCAATTTTGAAATAAAAAAGTTTAATCCTTCGATATTATTATTCAATATTACGTTATAAATAATAATAAATCACGTTGAAAAGAAAAGTTTTCCTCTTCTTCGTAAGGGGGAAATTCTTATAGAAAAAGAAAAACGAATGAAAAGACAAAAACGAAAAAAGGAAAAGAAAAGAAGACAAAAAAATCAAGACGATCTCTAAATGACTTTGTGGAAACTTTGATTTACAATAAAAAATTGATTCCACGTGCTTAATGAATAAATTTTAACGAGGTATTTAAATAAGGCAGATCGATGGTATCATAAAGCGAGCATGTAACAGGCAAGAATATCGACAAAGAAGGTTGGTCGTCGAGTTATCTGCAAGGATTAAAAAAAAAAAAAAAAAGAAAAAACAAAATAACAAATAAATAAATAAAAATTAAAAGGTAAAAAAAACTTTGATCTACATACACATATATAACACACGTCGTACGTCGCGCGCGCACACGTGATACACACACAATCACATATACGTATGTGTGCGTATATGTATATGTATATATATATATATATGTATATAGATGAATACAAAAAAAACGAATAAATAAAAAGTAAAAGAAATAGAAATATATGTATATATACTTGGTAGATAAGAAACTGGGTCGAGTCGATCGTTGAAATAATTGAAAGGGCTATCGGTAGTCTATTGGTTTGATCCCTCGATCACAGGCTAACAGGAAGTATCGAGTGGTTGCTTGAAATTTCACGTTGGCAATTGTTAACTACTCTTTATAGAAATGATTGCAAATCTGAAATATATATAAATTTTTATTATTAATTCGTCGCCATAATTTCTTCTATCAATTTTATTGAATAATTAAATATAAGATTAAAAAATATATATTAATACTTAAATTATTTAATTAAAACAATATATTTATATTTAATGACACTTAATTATAATATATTTACTATAAAATATATATATATGTATATATATATATATATAAATGATTATGAAAGATTCGAATAAAAAAAAAAAAAAAATAAAAGAAACGAATGAACTTACATAAACTGGATATATAAAATAAATAATAATAAATAATAATAATAGTAATAATAATAATAATAACAATAATAATAATAATAACATAACTTGTGCATTTTACATGCACAATTTCTGGCAACAAGTGACAATTAATCAATGTGTCATCATTGTTTACATTTAATATAATAACAATATAATAATTATGTAATTAAGCGATCATAAATATGGCAATAAATCAAAATGATTTTGACAGAACGTTGAGAGAAAAAAAAGAAACAATTATTCGGATATTCGAAGATTCAAGCGATAATAAGAATCCTTAAAAGAAAGTCAATTAATTAGTATACTTTCTCTCTTTTTCCCACTCTCATTACTTTACTTTTTCTCTTTCTTTTTCTCTTTTATTCTTGAACAATGACGACATTCATTTAGTATTTCTTTGGTTTCGATGATAATAAAAATTCGAAAAATAGAAAAAGAAAGCCAATTCATGTCTCTCTCTCTCTCTCTCTTTCTCTCGCTCTATCCTTTCTCTTTTTATCTCTCTTTCTCTCTCTCTCTCTCTCTCTCTCCCTCTCTCTGTCTGTCTCTCTCGCACCCTCATTTCTATATTTCTCTCTCTCTCTTTCTCTATCTCTTTCTCTCTCTCTCTTTCTTTCTGTTTTATTATCGAACGAGTTCCTGTTGCATTTAGTTGAGATGATCCCTGAAAGGGATCAAAGTGAGAACCCTTTGACAAGAATAATTTAATCCCGAGCCCGAGGGAAAGGGTTGAATAAAATATATTCACATATTCGAAGCAGGCAAGCATCCTCGACGAGAAAGCTTTTCTCTTCTCTCTCTCTCTCTCACTCTCTCTCGCTTTCTCTCTCTCTCTCTCTCTCTCTCTCTCTCTCGCTTTCTCTCTCTCTCTCTTTCGTTTTCTCTCTCTCTTTTGCTGTATTGTGAATTGGTCTGCTTTAACAAGATGGCGGCATCGCTTTTATATTACCTGTTGATTCTATAGCCGATATCATGCTACTCTGATCGGAGTAAAACTCGTCGGAAGTTGTCGGTTCTTGTTCGGCTAGTCAAAAAAAAGTAAAGAATAAATAGACAAAAAAAATCTATATATATATATATATATATATATATATATATATATATATATATATATTATAAATAAATAGATGGAATGAAGTTTATTATCATAGGGGTTGCAAACAATGTAAATATGAAATTGTATTTAAATTATTATGATTTAAGATATAACTTATGAAAATAATATATCAAATTTATTTATTACTATATGTGTATGTATATGTCTGTATATATATATATATATATATATGTATATATACATACATACATACATATATAATAATAATGTATAAGTTATATAAGGTATATCATAAATATATATATATATATATATATATATATATATATGTATATAAAGAGAGAGAGAGAGAAAGGTTCAAATTTCTAAGGGTTGAAACGAAAGGATTTACCTCGTTGGGATTCCACCCACGCTTTTCTCACAGGGTAACATCCGATCGAAGAATTCTTATGATAATTTTCCTTATACGTACTGACATTAGAATTCTCATTGTCATTCTTTCCTTTTTCAATCATCGACCTCTTCAAATATCTATCAGATTAAAAGACATCAATTAATAAACAAATTTTAATTGGAATAAAACAATACATTGAAGATTCATATTGGATCTATGAAATTATTTTTTAAAAATATTCAATTATTACTTAATTGTTGGAAATACATTTTTTTTCTACTATCATCGACATCATCACACTTCCATATTTTAATTGTATTCATATATTGTAATAACAAATTTTAATTGAAGTAAAAGATGAAATAAGAAAACGGAAAGGAAAAACAAAGAGAAAGATATTAAATAATTTCATTCTATTGAAAAAGTAATTATCAATTGTTAATTATAATTAAATTGTTGTTTATAATAATGAAGAAATCAAATTAATCGTCCCCAATCTTATTATTTCAATTTCACTGTACTAATTTATTTTAAGAACATTGTAAAGCGGAAGTATGATATAAGCGTCGAGGATGACAAAGGCAGTGATCGTAGCGATCATGATCGTGATAGTGATCGTGCTGGGAAACCGGAAGAGATTGTACGTTTAATATTAACCTCGGCCCGGAAGTGAATCATAAATCAGGAAGTCTCTCGGCGAAATCTCTCGAATGCTTGTTTTCTATAAAACAATGTAAAAAAATTAAATTGCACGATATCATCTGTACTATAGTAATATACACATATAAAGCATAATAATTATAATAATGTAATTGTAAGAATATCATTTTCTTTTTTAATTTCTCATTTTCTATTAATAATTTGTTGAACAATTATATATTATATATTATTGTATGTATATAATTGAATTTATAATCATTAATGTAAATAATAAATAAATAAATGTAAATGTATACATATATACACATATATGTATATGAATATATATATATATATATATATATATATATTTATATATGTATATGTATAATAAATATAAAAAAGAAATACTTGTTCTAACTTGATCATGTTTATTATTACTATATATATGTATTTTATGGATAAGTCGAAGTAAAATTTAGCAAAGGCTTACTCAACGAACATACTCTGGAAACCTCCTCAACATCCATGTATGCCTGAACAATGTCACCTGCGATGTAATTAATATTCATACGTACGCATCATGCGTTGAATTGATATATTCTGATTATTATCTTTATTGTAATTTGATGATATTACTTCCTATACCTATATATGCATACATATATATATATATATATATATATATATATATATATGTATATGCATATATAAGTAAGTACTTACTATTCATAGATATATATTACATAAAATTCATAATACTTAGAAATTAAACTGTATAAACTGATCAATATAAGTTAACATTATTATGAGATATCAATGAAAATAAAAGTAAAAAATTTCAAAATTATGTCTCTCTATTTGCATACCTGCATATACATGGTGTTCAGATTTATGCAAATCATGATCTTCATAAGTATTCAGAATATCTTAAAATTTGACATCTAAGGAAAATGTAATATTACATTAATATAATATTCGTGATGATATATCAATATGATGTATAAAAAAAAAAATAAATAAAAAAGAAAAAAGAAAGAAGAAAAAGAAAGAGAAATAAAAAATCGTGTTTGCGTGTGTCTCTTCTTTCTTTATCTGAACAAGAGATAAAAAATGTCGATGGATGAAACCGTCTTTTAGTTGGATAGTAACAGGATATTATGATATGAGAAAAGTCAACTGTCAATGGTTGGAAGCTGGACAAAAGTGGTAGGATAACATATGTTTGTTTATACATAGATCTTTCCAAGAGTTACCAGGTGATTGTCTTTCGTTGACAATGATTCTAATAGAAAAGTTAAACAAAAAAAGAAAAAAAAAAAGAAAAGAAAAGAAAAGAAAAGAAAAGAAAAGAGGAAAAGAGAAGAGAAGATGTTTATCAAGATACGACATTACCGAAATGATGGACAATAAAGTAAAGTAAACAAGTAGACTAGGATGTCATGGAGCTTTCAGAGGTGGTTCGTTCAGTTAACTCCAATGGGGAATCCTTTGAAGGGGTGGTAACGTGGTTGAAAACTGACTTCGTTGGTTCGACCAAACAGCAGGGGATGTCTACCTATGTCGAATAGACGGTATAAATCTAAAGGAGAAGAAGGAGTTCCGAGAAGGTTTGGGGTGGAGAATTCGTAATTGAAAGGGATGTTCCCTGTCGTTCCCTCGATTATTCCGCCATTTAATTCTACATTTCTATTCTAACATTATTTCTTTTCCTCCCTAACGATTCTTCTTCATTGCAAAAGGAAAAAAAAAGAAACGCGTTTCTAATCCTTTCGGTTCAATTTAATCCTAAAAAAAAGTATATATATATATATATATATATGTGTACATATATTAAGTAACTTTAATGTAATTTTGATCGTAATGTTGTTACTAAAAAAACTGTGACATTGTATCTATTGTATTCTATATTCCTATTAAAAGATTATTATTATTACAATCATTTTATTTTTTTTCTTCGTTAATCAAAATCTCTTGCGATTGTCGTAGTGAATGAAAATGCAAAAATGAAAAGAAAAAAGCAAAGGAGAAACTTCTAATATTAAAAAAACAATATCTTGAAACATTCTAGAAAAAAGTTAATAAATTTATATATATATATATATTTGTATATATTTATATATATATATATATATATATATATATATATATATAAATATATACAAATATAATGAAGTATAAATCTAAATAAAAAATTTGAAAAAAGAATCTTCCTTAATAATACAATCAATGGCAAAGCGAACAAATTTATGACATAACATTGTAATAAAATATTAATATAATATTCTCAATCATTCTGAACAATAAATATTAAGAAATAAAAAATATAACAAAATTTCTATTCATCATATGTGTATATACATATCTTTATATATATATACACATACACACACACAAATACATATACTAACAAACTGATTAACATGATATACATAAATACCTATATATACACACAAACATATATATATATATATATGTAAAGTTAGTGGAACGAGGACGAAACTATCCTCTGGGCGTTTCCATCCAACCCAGAGACTCGACTTTCTATTTCTCTTTCTCCCTCATTCTCTCTCTCGCTCTCTCTCTCGCTCTCTCTCTCTCTCTTTATCTCTTTCTCGGTCAATCTTGGGAGAATCCAATAAGTCTCCAATCTAAGAATGATTTCTGAAGAAAATCCAACTTGTAAGAGCAAATGTAACAAGTCCATTAAAATTGTAAATTAGAAATACATACACATATACATATGTATATGAACCTAAACCTTTTTCAAATTCGGCGACTGGACAGGCATAACGTTTCCGTACCGCCTCTTCAGCTTGGGGTTCCGCCCCGCGAGTTTGATGGCCTGCCCTCCGCGGGAGCCGCCCCCGCTCTTCGAATAGGATCACAGGAACTTCAAGGAATTCTATCGTTCTCTTTCTTGATTACTGTTATACGTATTTATATATATAACATATATATATATATATATATATATATATATATATATATAAATATATATAATAATTATTGCGAGCAAATATATCCTTTTGTAACAATGACACAAATATATTCAGAATAATATATAGTGTATACTTTTATAGATTAATATAAATATAAATATTAATATATGATTAATGTAAATATAAATACATGTATGTGTATATGTATGTACTTTTAATAAGATCTGAAGAAAATGAAGAAGGTATTGGTTAACTCTTTCTTTCATTGATCAATCTTTAATTGAGGCATTAATATATAAAAAGATAACATGAGATTACATTACCATAATGTACTATCATAAGCTGTGCCTAACTTTAGCAAGTTTTTGATATGACAAGTTAGAAGGGAGAGAATCACCACCTAGGAATCTATTCTCTCTCTCTCTCTCTCTCTCTCTCTCTCTCTCTCTCTCTCTCTCTCTCTCTTTTTCTCTTTCTCTTTCTCCATTTCTTTCACTCAATCATTCTATAACACCTTATAACAGTGATTAATATTATTTTAGAATGATCCATAGTCAGAACAGATTTATATTGTTTCAAAACTATCTCATAGTAATTCTTCATAAGAAAATTTAGAGTACCTGTGACAAAATAAATATCAATCTTAGCATATAATAATAATAATATAACTTTTATGCGATATTGTAAAAATATATTATTATCAAAATATACTGAGTATATAATTTTTGCAAAACATTTAAATATATTTTATACAGTATATAATTAAAAAGAATATAAGTATCAATCTCTCTATACCTTTAGCCAATCTTTAATCTCTTTTCCTACTTACTTTTAATTATTAATAGTCATGTATTATTCAATAGTTATCTATTCCGAAGCTCTCTGGGGTATCTGTAAATAGAAAAAAAAAAGTATATAAAAAATGAAAAAAAAAAAAAATATAAAAAAAATATATTAAAATTACAATCGACTAATAACATTTAACACGATATCAAAAATGATAAGAATAAATGATAATAATATACGAAAACAAGATCCTATTATCTTTGATCGAATATCGTCTCTAACTCTTTCCAAATTTCGTAGTACGTTAAAATTACTGTTGTAATCTTTAAATCGATTCATAATTATTCATCCCTTTAGATATCCTGCAGTAAATATAAAACGAACGAATGATTAATTAATAAACGTTATATACAAAAATATTATATCGATACTGTAACGATTTTAATCGAAATAAATTTATCGTAAAATATCGATGGAAATGGAATCGGCGAATCATTTCTTTCTTTCTCTTTCCTTTATTTTCTTTCACTCTTTCCATTCTTTTTCTTTTCTTTTTTTTTTTCTTCGTTCGTTTTTTCATCGAACGAAATTTGAACAGATAGAGTGGCAAAAATAGAACAAAAAAAAAAAAAAAAAAAAAAGGAAAAAAGAAAAAAAGAAAAAGAAAAAAACTAAAAAAAAAAAAGAAAAATAAAGGAAGAAGAATTAAAAGAAACCACCACCACCACCACCACCCTCAAAGAAAAAAAGAACAAAAAAAGAAAAAAAAAACCAATAACGTATATCGATCGACTGCCCCTTGATTGTGTATATCCCTATAAATCCTACTCTAAGTAACTAAAGAATTATAGTATGACATTGGTATGAGGTTGTACCCTATATTGCTGTAGGCTGTGCCTACGAACGACGAAGGCTGTTTTTGGCATGCGTGGTGAAGCAAGAGGAGGATCAGAGATGAATCGCAAGTAGAAGGGAGAGAACAACCAAGCAGAAGTCTACCTCTCTCTCTCTCTTTCTCTCTTTCTCTCTCTCTCTCTCTCCTTCTCTTTCTCTCTTTCGCGCAACACTATAGCACGGTTAGGAATCAATGAAGGGGCTTTTGCAGCAGGAGCATGCGTCTGGGTTGCCGAATTCACAGGCACAATCTCTCTCTCTTTCTCTCTCTCTCTCTCTCTGTTTCTCTCTCTCCCTCTCCCTCTCTCTCTCTCTCTCTCTATTTGTCTCTGTCTCTGTCTCTCGAAGCAGCCTCCAGCGAAATCTCTGTTGGGAAGAAGGGAATGAGCTCGGATGCTGCGACTGGTCCAGAGAGTGTATCGAGAGGCCGGCAACGGGAGGATCGGGTAGTAGTGGGGGGGAGGCTGGGAGGTCGAAAGGGACCATGAGAAAGAGAGAGAGAGAGAGAATGAGAGAAAGAAAAAGATGATAAAAGGGAGAATGAGAAAGAGATATATATATTATAGAAAGAGAGAGAGAATGAGAGTGTGAGAAAGAGAGAGAGAGAGAGAGTATAATACATGTCTCTTCGCTTTTAGGAGGCCACGACGAGTGGTGGCCGCGAGGCTGGCCGAAAGGGTCAGATACGTGCGCCAGTCGAAAAAGGGTGCGACCTTCGTTGGCCGAGGCCAGCCCTCGGGGAGACCGCGCCCACGCATTTTCAACAGGATCGCAGGAGATCAATGGAGCTTACTTTGGCCTTGGATATATTCTCTCCTTTATGTTTCGACCTCTTCTATCTTTCTCTCTTTTTCTCTCTCTCTCTCTCTCTCTCTCTCTCTCTTTCTCTTTCTATATATATATAAATATATATATATGTATATATGTATGTCACTTACCCTTTCTTTCTCTTTCTCTTTTAATATCTCTTTCTTTCTTATTTGTGCTTGGGTTAGGTCTTATACTAGAATGACCCTTAAAAAGGGTCGAACATTAACCTCCTCTCCCCCATCATGTTTAATCGTTGAATGTTTACAATTAATTCGATTCGTAAATAAATACCTTATTTCACTTTGATTCGATTCATTCCTATGATCAGAGTTAATAAGTGCGATAAGAGAAGTTTTATTTTAAATACAAGTCTTGCTTTTCAATTATTATAGTTTGTATGTACGTACCTATGTATGTATGTTTTTTTTGTATGTATATATGTATGTATATATGCTAATGTTTGATAAGTGTATCGATGATTTTAATTTGAAATATATTAAAAAGGGATATAAACATTTTTGTTTATCATCCAATTTTTTGAAGAAAAATGATCTCTCTCTCCCTCCTTCTTTCCCTCCCTCCCTCTCCCTCTCTCTCTCTCTCTCTCTCTCTCTCTCTATCTCTCTCTTTCTTTTTCACACTATGTAAATTTGTAATCAAACTTTTATTTTTCAATTTTAATCTGAAATTAATGAAATAAAAATAGACCCCTTTGTAAATTGTGAAGATATTTTGTTAAAAAAACGATCGGAGAAATTCTATCTGTTAGAAAATATATTCTAATTACTTGTTCCTTTCTATTATTATTATTATTATTATTATTATTATTATTATTATTATTATTATTTTCTTTTGTTTTGTTTCGTTTTGCTTTCGTATGAAATTGACGGGATTTAATTTTCCAATGTACTACATAAACGTAAATTTTCTTTTTTTCATCGCATTTCGTTCTACCGTGAGCTTCTTTTCTTTTTTTTTTTCTATTACATAAATTAGATTTTAATTTGCCATTATATATAATATATAGATAGACAAATAGATAGATATATAGATATATAGATAAATACGAATTGCAAGTATTTATTATTTACTTTTCCTTTGTGACAATATATTTCTTTGGTTTGGTAAAGTTTCTTATCCCCGTTTAACCTCCTAGCTCCTTTTATTCTCCTGTTATTCCGATGTAACGGAGTTGTTTACACTGCGCATGTAATATGGCACCATTCGCCATTTTCACCATTTCGTCCTGTACAAGTAAAATAAGTAGTAAGTTACTTCGTTTACTGATATCACTCATTTTTTTTATTCCCCTATAAATCACAAGACTTACTAAATTTATGAGGGGAAAAGAGAGAGAGAAAGAGAGAGAGAGAGAGAGAGAGAGAGAGAGAGAGAGAGAGAGAGAGAGAGAGAGACAGAGAGAGAGAGAGAGAGAGAGAGAGAGAGAGAGAGAGAGAAAAGAAAGAAAAAGAAAGGGAGGAAAAAGAAAGGGAGGAAAAAGAAAACCATAGATTATAAAGTATATTCATTGCTATAGATTAAAAAGATTCGAATATGATTTACCATGAAATTCAATAATAACGTCAGAACAATGAATAACTTTTGGAACTTGATGAAGAGTAAAAACAAATATTTTTTGTTGTTTATAATTAAAAACGATACCTTAACGATGAGGATATTAGAAAATTTTAAGAGGTAACCTAAGAAAATTCTTTAAATTCTATATATATATATATGTGTGTGTGTATATAAATTTGAAAAATATTTTTTAATGATTATTCTTCTATCTTTTATTATATCCCATTAAATCAAAATAATATATGAATATATATATATATATATATATATATATATAATATATGAAATATACAAATAATATATAAAAATATCAAGTTTTTGTGTTATCTCTTTCTTTCTTTTTCTTTTTTTTTTCTTCTTTTTTTTTTTTTCTTTTTCCTTTTTTCCATATCCCTACACATTAACCTATAAATTAATCCTATAACATATTATACACTGTCGGTACAAATATTACATAACGTCGATGATTGTCCACCATAATAATAAATAAAATAAAATAAAATAAAAAAAAAAACAAACAAACAAGAGAAAGAAATATACGAACTCGTAAAAAATTTCACTCTCGAACGTTTAGCATTTAATTAGAAATTAATTAGACGCATTCAAACTTTCTATAAAAAGTAAAGATACCACCATGTCAAAATGCAGAAAGAACTCTTCTTCCTCTTCCTTCTCTACCTCCTTCTCCTCTTCCTTCTACACCTCTTCAACCTCCTTTTCCTCCTCCTCCCCCTCCTTTATGATGAAAAATTGAAAAGTTTGAAGGAGACACAATGTAGATAATAGAATTATTTCGACGAATGGATTCGATAACAATGGCGAAAGTCGCTAACCTAACTAAACGGATCCGGCCTTTAGGAGTTCGTAAAGTTCGTAACGTTAGGCAATTAGTTTCGCTCCATTGAGTTCTAAATGCGGAGACTTGGTAATCAGGAATGCAGAGGATTCGAGGAGATCGATAAAGGTTATATATCCTTCGAGGTCAAGCCAAACGTTATATTCGTTTTCGTCCTGTTATCCTGACCGTTGTCGCCGGTTTTCTTATTAATATGCTAATTTCACGGCAAGTCCGTTCTTACCCTTGATTTTGTTTTATAATAATATAACAACTTCCAACTTATACTCTCTCTTTCTCTTTATACATATTTATATATATATATTTATATATATATATATTTATATATATATATATTTATATATATACATATGTATATATATATATACATATGTATATATATATATATGTATATATTATGTATCTATCTTCTTTTTCTCTTTTTTTCCTCTCTCTTATTGGCTCGTTGAAAGAGACGAAAGACTACGGTCACGTGTAATGCGATACACCTTCGATCAGGAAAGTATGGAAAGAAACGTTTCGAGATCTTTTTCAATCCTACGGGAAATGCTAATTTTTTTATTTATTTATTTATATATTACTATATTTTTTTCCCTTTATTTTTTAAATAAACAAACCTACGTCTCGTCAAAATTCTAAACGTACGATATACCTAAATACTTTCTTAAATACTCACGTATCTCCAAATTTGAACGATTAAATGTAAATATTTTGGTTATCTTTTTAGATATGTATATATATGATTTTTTAAATTTATTTATTTATTTATTTTTTTTTTCATTATTGTTATCGAAATACGTTTTTATCATTATTATTTTTTATTCATTAAAATCATTATTATTTATCAACGATCAATTGATTTTCTTATAAATAAACGAACGCTTATTTTTATTCTGATTGATATGAAATTATTGATAACAATCGATCGAATCAAAGATGATGAATATGATAAATTGACAATGTATTAACGAAGTTTTGTTAATATACCAATAACAATGGAAGAATATCAATCAACATTCTAAATTGAATCTAATGGGTGGCGGCGAGGGGGAGGAGAGAAGAGGAAGACGAGGAAGAAGTTCGATAGACTTAAGATAGAAAGTAAACGGCAACGTAGGGTGAAAAGATTTGCCGCTCGAATGATTTTGAAAGCATCTACCTAGTCTGAAGGAACAGGAATCCACGAAATTACAGAGGCAAGACATGAAATGTACACGTACACACACACACACACACACACACTAAACACAAAGAGAGATACCTTCGAGAGACTTGAGAATCCTTCGATTACAAATTACAGAACGAGTACACCACTACTATTATCACTACACTACTTGTTCTTCTTCTTCTTCTTCTTCTTCTTCTTCTTCTTCTTCTTCTTCTCCTTCTTCTTCTTCTTCTTCTCGTGTCGACTTCTTTGTATGAGATTCGTTTGGTTACCTTGTCCATCAACGGTCGCCATCTGATACCAAACTTAGAATACCATGAAACAGGGTAACATGAAAGGAAGAGTTCAACAATTCTATCGATTCGCGTTTATTATAAAAGCTTTCGAGTGTCTTCTTTTAGTTATAGTGTAAAAGAGAAAGAGAGAGAGAAAGAGAGTGTCGATGAGGTTAGAAGGAATACCATCTCGTTATCCTAGGATTGTAGAAAAATGTGCTGGTATATGTATAATCTCCGTGAGGAGAGTCACGTGACGGCACTATCAATAATACCAACTGACTAGTTGAAAGAAATTAAACAAAAAAAAAAAAAAAAAGAACGAAATACTATTCGTCGTATATCTACTAAAAGATACGTGTGACGGACACTATTAGTAATACCAACTGACTAATCGATATGAAGCAAAAGAAACAAAAAAACAAATTTTCTAACGTCGTATATCTTTTAACAATCACATGCAAAAGCTCTTTATCAATAATACCAACAGATTAATTGAAATAAAATAAAAAAAAAAAAAAAATAGTAATAATTAGAGAGTACTAACGTTGTATATCTTTTTGAGAGTCACGTGTAAACGACTCGATATTAATAATATCAAGTAAATTATATATAATTAATAATAATAAATAATAAATTCTAATAAATACTAATTCTTTATATTGTTTTCTACTTTTATATATTAAATGTCATATATATATATATATTAATTAAAAAATAAATAAATAAATAAAATGAGTAACTGATTATCATTTACTTAATGTTATCAATTATTTTGAAATAGATTATTCTTTATTCTTTCATTTTCTCTTTCTCTCTCTCTCTCTCTCTCTCTCTCTCTCTCTCTCTCTCTCTCTCTCTCTCTTTCTATTTTTTCTAACAAAAAAGTAATTAAGGAATAAATTAAAAAATTCTATGATTTAAAATCTATTTAAATTTAATTTCTTATATAAACACAACGAAGTGTATGCTTAAGGAAAAAAAATAAATAAATAAACATATATATAAATATATATGTGTATACACATACACTATTTTTTTAAGTAGCTAATTATTATTTATATAACATTTTCATTATTTATGGAACAAAAATAATTCATTTCCTTTTTTTTTTTACTTTCGTATAAACTACATATTATAATATGATAATATATATATATATATATATATATATATATATATATATAGAGAGAGAGAGAGAGAGAGAGAGAGAGAAAGAAATATATAATATTATAGCGTATATATAGAGAAAGAAAGAGACGACGTGATGGAAGCCATCTTAGAAGTCACCGAGAGTCGCAGCGTTTGGCCTCACATGATCAGGAAATCATGATACGAAGAGCATAATCTTTCTCTCTCTCTCTCTCTCTCTCTCTCTTTCTCTCTTTATGGTGGTTCGTTTACGTACAATATGCAAAACAGGAATAAAAAAAAAGAGAAAAAGAGAGAGAGAGAGAGAGAGAGAATGAGAGAAAGACACAGTTAATGGGGCTATATAGCATAACCTCTAAACATTCTATTCGTACTACTAATTCATACATATATCTATGTACATACATATATATATGTATATATATATATATATTTATTTATATATTTATATATTTATTTGGAATAATGTTCTCATGAAGGAACGAAAGAGAGGAGGGTTAAATACGGACTAGTAAATGCCAAATGCAGAGAGAATGGATAAACAACCTTATAGGGATGGTAGAAAATAGGAGAAGGTCGAACGAAGTCCATAGTGATGGAGGGATGATAGGGCATGAGAGGAGAGGGACGGAGAAACGGTGGTCATTGGTATCGCGTTGTCTAGATTGGATACGAACTTTGAAATAACGTGTTTCTATAGCGATAGAAAGAAATAAAAAAAGAACATATATATGTATATATATGTATATATATAAATATATAAATAAATAAATAAATAAATAAAAATTACAACTTCTAAGATAAATTAAGTGCGATGTTTAAGTTAACAAGCTCGACTATATCATCAAGAAAAAACATATACGAATGGACATTATGCGATTCTGATAATAAAATATCATGGTTGAAGATGAAATTAAATAATATCGTGAAATTTTGGAAATATGAATCTAGGGATACTACAGGAAGAAAAATACAAGTTGCCAAATTGTATGGTCCCTGTGATATAAGACCCGATTTCGTTTATGAAAAAACAATTCGACAAGAGGAGGTTCGTGAGATTGAATTTTAACAAAAACAAATTTTAATACATAAATAAATAAATAAATAATTAGATAGATAGATAGATAGATAGATAGATAGATAGATAGATAGATAGATAGATAGATAGAGAGAGAGAGAGAGAAAGAGAGAGAGAGAGAGAGAGAGAGAGAGAGAGAGAGAGAGAGAGAGAGAGAAAGAGAGAAAGAGAGAGAGAGAATGAAAATACAAAAATTTGTCGAAAAGAAGGAGAATTTTAACAAAAGGTTAGAATCGACGTCCATTACTGTAGTATCACGATGACCGATATTTTATTATGGGCTAATCAACATCGAAGAATAATTGAAAAAGAAATGATCCTTGGATTTGAGGCCTCTGGTAAAATTTTGGAAATAGGTCGATTGGCACAGGAAAAAGGACATTTTTATTGGGGCGAAGAGGTTTTGATACATAATTACCCGATTGTTGGTGGATTAGCAGAAACTTGTATTGCCCATTACAACGTAAGAGATATAGATAATTAATCTATTTTAAATATTTCTAATTTTAATGTAAAACTTACTTCGAGAAAAATGAATGGGAATGTTTTTCTTTTCTTTCCTTTCCTTCGAAATATTTTTTCCAAAGTAATATGAACGATCTTGTATCGAATTTTATTAAATTAATCATAACGATTTGTATGTTAATATAAAAACAAACAAAAAAATAGAAAAAGAAATGAAAAAAGTCCCTGATGCTCCAGAATGAAAATGTTTTTCTAAAGAAAATTATTCGTATATATATATATATATATATATATATATATATATATATATACATTTTTTTTATTCGTCGAATTTCTTGTTACGAAAAAATCAATATGGCGATATTTTATGAGAGTATTTAATAATGGAATAAATAATTAGAACGTGTTTAGACTCGATAAAATTAAAAATTTATCAATGAAAGATGCGGCGATCTTGACGGACGATTATTTCTCACCATTGTTAATATTCGGCCGTCGTAGTAAATTAATCGAGAACGAATATATCTTAATTAATACAAATTTGGCTTATTCGGGATTGGCAGCCAGTAATATCGCAGCATGCATCTTTCGTGCCAAGGTAATATGATTAAAGATCAATTATTGTTGGGTATAGATAAGATTAATTAATTAATTGATTAATTAATTAATTAATTAATTAATTAATTAATCGAAATTAATTCATTAAATAATTTAATTATCAATTCATTATTCAATTTTACGCTTTCTAGCCAATTATTGCGTCCAATTGTATAACATCGTTCAATTGTAATAGTGGTGCTATTGCGATTATCGATAGAAATAAATTGAGCGACGAATTAGAACGAATTACTGGCAAGAGAGAAGTTCGTTTAATCATCGATACGATTGGTGGAAAACAATTTGGGAATTTACTTAAATGGTTAGATAATATTAGTTTAAAATTTTATGAATATAATTATTTTAATATTAATTTATTACGAATAATAAATTATTATATAATATATATATATATATATATATATATATATATATATATATAATATGTACGTTGTCTTATTAAGTTCGCAATACGAAATCTAATTTAATCAGTATCATATTTACTATAATAATAATAATAGTAATAATATATATATATTTTTTTATTGTTTTCAAGTTTGCAACACGAAGGAATAGTTGCTGTTGTTGATTGTGCAAGAGATTCAAAGTATCCGTATCAATATATTTTCCCATCGAATTATACTATCTTAACATTGTCAATAGAACATTATAAAAATAATGATCCCTTTATATATAGGTTAGTTTACATATTCTTTCATAGTACGAATATATATATATACATATATATATATATATACATACATTTGTTGAATATAATATTTGTTGATAGAGAAACCATGCAAAATTTATTGGATTATCGAATAGAAGGTACGATCTGTCCACATATATCAGCCATATTTGGATTGAATAATATAAACAAGGCATTTGAATATGCCGCAAAATTGACTCGAGGCAAAATATTGATAGATCTTAAAAATCATGACGAATATTATTTATGTGAATCTTAAACGATCGGATATGTAACATTTCTCAAACAAAAAGTATAAATATAAAAAGAATATAATAATAATAATGTTATAAACGTATCGTTAATTAAAAAAAAAAAAAAAGAAAAACATTTTATAGTGATACCTTTGTATTAACGTACTTAAACAGATAAGAGAACAACCGTATAAATCGTATAAATAAATAAATAAATAATAATAATAATATTGCACACTCGTTGCATTTATGTTTGATCGTTCATATAAATAAAAAGAAAAAATAGATAAAAAGTTACAATTAAAATATGTATCTACGTACACCTGCATAACGTATATACTTACATATAAAATGGATATCAAATCGAAACGGCAAAAACATAACCACAAGTCGATGAAACATTATCAAGCAGCTTTTCCTATCGACGGTGAGTAAAATCTATCTATATCATATAAGATAATATCCGTTAACTTTTCTCTATTCACTTGTGAATACACATAAATATTCTCTCACATAAATATCACAAACATCTCGGAGAACATACGCGCACTCAAATACTGATCATTCGCCCACGTCCGTTAATATTGCGTCATCGTCTTTAGAGAATAATTTAAGGTATTACTACGCGTAACTGAAATTCGCGGGAAATTTTATACCCACGATATTTATGCATATAAACAGACAAATGAAGAGAGAGAAAGAGAAAGAGTCAGATTGAGAGATTGAGAAAGAGAGTGAAAGAGAGAGAGAGAGATCCACTTTATCCACGATATTCTACAAACGATAACGAATATTCTTGTATCGTCGACGATAAAACAGTAGACGTGTAAAAGTAACTACTAAAAATTATCGAATTTTTGTCGGTACGATTAATAAAATTCTAGGAAACTGTATATGGTAAAAAAGAGAGAGAAAGAAAAAGAGAGAGAGAGAGAGAGAGAGAAAGAAAGAGAGAGAGAGAAAGCAGAGAAATCGAGAGAGAGAGAGAGAGAAAGAGAGAGAGAGAAAGCAGAGAAATCGAGAGAGAGAGAGAGTGAAAAGGAAAAGATCATACGTTAATGTACAATAAATGCAGCGACCAACTTAAAAGTTAAGATGGCGTCGGTTATTTTCAAACGGTATCAATCGTCAAATTTCGTCGAGAGATGGCGCCAGTGGTTACGTTACGTC